GTTTGCTCATCCATTCATCATCCATCCGTCCATCCATCCATCTTTCCATTCATCCATCCTTCAAAGTAGAAGCAGATTATGCGCTTACAATTTTTTTGAGTGTAGTCCCTTCCATTTCAATTTGAGGACACCGCAGCCCAGAGCTATTAACTAGGGCGCATGAGTTCACAGAGGCATTTAGAAGCAGCAAAGGACAGCCAGTTCCCCAGGCCCCAGTTTAGTCCTGGCTCATGCTGATTCTTCCAGAGAGAACACTGGCAGGTCTGGGTGAGGTGGGTAGAGTCAGGAGGAAGGACAGAGTGCAGCACTTGGAAAAGAGCACCTGGTGGCCAGGGCAGGGGTGTGACCGAGACGGGCCGACAGACGGTGCGGAGAGCCACATTCACCAGGCACAGGATGAAACAAGCCTCCTTGGGCACAGCTGCTTCGCGATGCCCTTGTTCAACATGCCAGAGGCACAGAAGACGTACGCATCTGTGGAAAGTTTTCTCCGACGCAGCACAGCACTGAGAAACCTCTGCCAAAGCAAGTCGTGCGAGAGCCATACGGCATTTCTTTCTGAAAGGACTCGCCAGCTCCTGGCCCTGAGACATGCCACCCCCCTGCTGCCGCTGCTGGGGAACTCAGCACATGGAGCACTGGCACTGGGGAGGGGGTGGAACCTCCCGCTAAACTGGAACAGTTGAAACGAAACGCATAAGACTCGCTGCACAAGCAAAACTGGGGCTTAGGTTTCTAGTCAACAGTGTCTGCGAACAAACAGGACCTTTTCAGTCATACTGGTGTCAGCAATGAACCCTTACCACGCACAGCAGCCAGCAGGACAGTCGGCTCGAGGGTCACACTTTCTGCGTAGCCCATCTCCTTACCAAAGGAAAAGACGAAATGCCACAAAAGAGGACAAAGAGAAGGCCTATTTTGTCCTTTACAGCAAACGCTTACATAGTGCTGTCTACTGGTATGTGTCAGCTCCTGTCCCCAGAGCTTTACGTGAATGAACTCACCTAATCCTTAGAGCATCTGTATAGGGAGCGACTGTTATTATCTCCTTCCTGCAGAGGAGGAGCCGGGCACAGAGAGGGGAAGTAACTTGCCTAAGGTCACAGAGCTAGTAGGGGGCACAGGTGGGCTATGGATCCAAAAGCTCAGGGTCTCAGACTGTTCTGTTAACCTCTGTGCTAACCTCCCTCTCACTAACAATGGAGAACGTAAGAAGTACCATCCATGCTGGATCAGACCCCTGTCCAGGATCCACCCACCCACTGGCCCGCTGGGTGGCAAGCATTGAGCGCGGCTCTGCAGACAGCGTGGAGAGCAAGCACCGCGCTGCCTCCAGCTTTGGTGGTGTGCTCCTCCAGGCAGGCGCTTCCATGGCAGCCTCTTGGTACCCCTCACCCACTCTCCGGACTGCGCCAGAGGACGGCCAGGTCTGTGCTGATGTTCAGGACTTGTTTCTGGAAGCCCAGAGATTTTATGTACTTAATTCTTTGTATGAAATCAGTCTCCTTAAAACAACGAGAGGGATATCTGCTTTCTGTATCTGAGCTGTGACTGACACTTTTTCCTAAAGGGCTAAAGGACGAAGTTAAACCAGAGGTGCCTCTAGTGTAAACAAAAGAAACAGGAGTGTCTGAGAGGCAGCTTGTGCATGCTGCCCTGGGAGGGAGGGGCTGGCAGGGGCCTGGAGATCCAGGGAGAGCCCGATCTGCAGTGCTGCACTGGGGCCTGGAGATCCAGGGAGAGCCCGATCTGCAGTGCTGCACTGGGGCCTGGAGATCCAGGGAGAGCCCGATCTGCAGTGCTGCACTGGGGCCTGGAGATCCAGGGAGAGCCCAGATCTGCAGTGCTGCTCAGAGCTGGACCGGAACCCAGGGCCAGACCAGGCCTAGAGCTCTCCCAGGTCTTTCGGGGATGCCTGGACATCTCAGCTAGCTAGACAGAAAGCACACATTTTTCCTGGAGCCACAGGACTGAGGACCAGACTGGGAGGAGAAATGGACAGAAAGTTGCCTGGCCAAGATCTGTCTTTAAAACTAGACACAACTGGACTCTGATTCTAGTCTGAACATTTGTCCTTTTCTAATTACACGCACTTTGTGACCCATCAAATCCGCTGATATGTAAGAAAGATATGTGCATTGCATACAAGATGCACCCAACAAATATTTATTATGCATCTATTATGTGCAAGATACCACTCTAGTCACTAAGGGTATGGCAGTGAACAACCAGATCAAAATCTGTCTGTGGGTTAAAGCTTCTTTAAATCTGAAAAACATTTTTTTAAAAATAGGTAAAATTTGCCCATAATCACATCAAAATAGTTTTCGCTAGACATGTAAATACAAGGTAAGAAGTCATAGGCCCTCCTTGTCCATCCAACCCTTCCCATCCCTCACAAAGTACCCATTATAAATCTTTCCAAAAAATTTAAAGACTGACTAAATACACATACCCATATACTTTTTATCATTATTTTTTTTTTAACCAAAATAGAATGATGCTTTATGGAATGATCTACAACATGTTTTTTTTTTCCACTTAATAGATTATGCACCTCTGTTTTAGTTAGAATTTTCTGAGAATCAGAGCCTGAAACATGGGTGCAAATATAGTCTCTGCTCAGACACTTAGATCCATCCCTCATTTTCATTGTTTCACAGCATTCCACTTTCTCTTCATCATTATTTATTTAATCCCCTTGAGGTATACACATACACATTGCTCGCCCTTTGTCCCCATGTTCCATTCACGGGAAAACTCATTTTCCAGGGCTCTGAGGTCTGGAGAAATGAGAGTGTTGGCAGCAGGGAGATGAAGTCTAGGACGCTTATCATTGTCCTTACCATGCCCCGGATTTATAGCGAATGCATAATTACGTGAAACTGGCCAAATCAGTGACCATGATGATCTGAGAGTGTTGGCAGCAGGGAGATGAAGTCTAGGAAGCTTATCATTGTCCTTACCATGCCCCAGATTTATAGCGAATGCATAATTATGTGAAACTGGCCATCAGTCACCATGATGATCCTAACAGTGAAAAGACCTCATTAATTTAGTGGTTTGTTTTCCCTTTTGCCAACTATAGTAGCTACTTACATCTTGACATTCTTTGGTTTAAATTTCATCATATTTCACCAGTTCTATCATGTCTTGTGGAACTAGTCTATACCACAGTATTTAAGATTGCCATTTTTTAAAATATATTTTATTGATTTCAGAGAGGAAGGAAGAGGGAGAGAGAGATAGAAACATCCACGGTGAAAGAGAATCATGGATTGGCTGCCTCCTGCAAGTCCCCCACTGGGGATAGAGCCCACAACCTGGGCGTGTGCCCTTGACCAGAATCGAACCTGGGACCTTTCAGTTCACAGGCCGACGCTCTATCCACTGAGCCAAACTGGCTAGGGCAAGATTGCTATTTCTTAATAGCAAAATGGCATATAATTAATTATCTGAGTGACAGCACCTGGATTTGTGGAAGAGATGTTTTAGATCACTGAATGAAGGATGGGAACTTGGGTTTCTAAGTTGAGTGCCAGTTCCTGAGGTCTTTTATATCTTGATGGGTGATTTCAGATGCCCGTCAGCACCATCAATCAATATTTCTATAGCCTCCCTGAGAACCACAGTACAGTAAGGGAGGAGATTTTGTATTGGTGGCAAAGTCCTGGCATCTGGCCCTGGTCACCTGTGTGCCTGTGGCAGGTCCCTTGGCCTTCCTAGATCGGGATGATGATATGTCTCTGGCTTACTTGTTGTGAGACTGAAAGGAAATATGGAAGGCAGGAGTGCTCTTTCAGTGTCAGCTGCTCTGTGAACATATGGGGGAGGAGTGTGGGTTTTGCTAGGCTGCAGTGGATAACCTTTGCTCTCGTGTACATGCCTGCCTTAAAGCCAGCATCCTGAAGTTGTCACTAACAAAACATTTAACTCTTAGCAAATAGAGTGGGTTTCAGTGAAGATTTCATGGGAGATGGAGGAGAAGGTTCCTTCACACACACAAGCAAAGCTCAATGTCCTGTTCCATCAGAGACACCTGCTCTTCCTTGAAAGCTCATTGTGGCCACCAGGAGCCTGGCTTCTGTCTCCTTCCTCATCCAACAGAGACTGCCCCGCCCTCAGGGCTCCTGTCTTCCTCCACTCCCGAAGCTTCCCTTTGGCTCTTTCTATGTCTCCTCCCTGCTGGGTTTTTACAGAGCAATTACTCCTTTATTCATGGATTCCTTACCATCTTCCTACTCACCAATCACTCCCCCTCCTCCTTAGAGAGCAGTGGGGGACTTTCAAGTAACAAATGCTTTTGCTATCACCAACTTTTTTTCATTGCCATAATACTATTAGATAATTTCATTATTCTAATTGTTCGGAATGTTTATGGGACTGCTTAGATCCAGAAAGTTGGGAACCATCAAAGGCCAGCCCCTCATCTGGCATCTGTAGTAACTGGGGACAAAGAAGGAAGGGGACTTGCCTAAGGTTACAGATGAAGGCTGTGACAGCGACTGTCCCAACTCAGCGCTCACGTCACTACATCAGCCTGCTGTACAAATGCATCGGGATGGTTTTTTGTTTGTTTTTTAAAGGACATCAGGCCTGACATTGCCTGTGTATTTTTTTTAAATGTTTTATTAATTTTAGAGAGAGGAAGGAGTGGGAGAGAGAGATAGAAACATCAATGATGAGAATCATTGATCAGCTGCCTCCTGCATGCCCCCTACTGGGGATCAAGCCCAGAACCCTGGCATATGCCCTGACTGGGAACTGAACTATAACCTCCTGGTTCATAGGTTGATGCTTAACCATGGAGCCACACCTGCCAGGCTTGGGATGCATTTAGATTCAGGGGAACCCAGAACTCTGAACGGGAAAGGGACTTGGAGTTCATCTAGAACAAATCCCTCATTATAGAGAGGTTAACATGGAAATTTTTCTTATACTCTCTGAATCCTAAAAATGCCACACAGATTACATGGTTACTTTACAACATATGTACTTGCCTGGTGGGTATGGTTTCCAGGAACATATACAGACTTGAACTGCTTCATGAGACTCCGAGCCCCGGCAATGTCCCGGAGCGACGTGAAGAGGGCGTCCACGGCAGTTTTGGCTTGGTGGAATGTCAGGTTAACCGAAGAGTCGCAGCCTGAAACAACACAGAGACATTTTCTTGGGTGAACAAATATTTAAATTAAGTTTTAGTCACGGCAGCTTGAGCCCCATGTTACACAATTGGTGTGTTTTTTAAACCCTATTTTCCCCCAGCGGTTCGCTCAGTGGGTTGCTTCAATCACCCACGAGCAATGAAACGTTGAGTATAAATGCCTTTGACAGAAGCAGAACTCAGAAGTGCCTGGGACCGCAGCCACTGGCTTCAAGCCCCAGACTGCAGACGTTTCACAGAGAGAAAGCTCCCCAGGGCCTACCGTCCTCAGAACACAGTCTGGGAAAACTGGAGGAGACACGGGAAAATACAAGAGTGCTGTGATGAACCTCTCTCACTTGAACGTCACCAACCGTTTCCATAAAACAGGACAGCAAGACTGAGAAAGATGACAGAGTTCTCGAATAACAGAGCATGCTGGGATGGGCATCTTTCTCCTGTGCTAACAAAACAGATGGCGCATTTCAAAAGCCAGCCATTCAAAGTCAATACAACCTATAGGGGGCCTAATAAAAAGACCCCGCTCAGCAACGACTCTATTTCTTTTAGAAACTTCTAATAGATGAATGCATTCTCTATTTTGTTAGAAGCCCATGCAGGAGAGGATGATTGTGGGTAAGTCAGAAGTTAAAAAAAAAAAATTGAGAAAGATTCGAGGTGGGCATGTTTGACTCTCTTACTAGTAAATACCACGCTAACTCATTAATCCTCACATCACTCATATGAGATAGGAGCTGTTATCTCCCCCAGTGTAGGGATGAGGGTTAAGGAGCGCTCCTGTCAGCAGGCACTGCCAATGCTCTGCCTGTGCCTGCTCAGTCACACTAGATGTCACCTGTAGGTTGGAACTGTTCCCATGCACCCTGACTGCCTCTTACCTCAAGTAGCTGATGTCTTTCTGTTTCTCTGTCTCTTCCTCTCTCTGTGTGTCTTTGTCTTTGTGTCTTCCTTCCTGTCTGAGGGCTTTCTCCAATTGTGGGAGCATGTTTGGCCTCTCTGTGGAGCAGGCTGGGGAGTCAGCACTCATAGGAACAGCCCAGCTTGCTCATCCCGTGGGAGAGCAATTCTGCATTGTGGTCTCCACAGCTTTTCCAGGGGGTCACAGCAGGACTGAGTCCCAGTTGCCCACAACTGCCACTCGCTCATTAAGGCCCCCGTTTTGGCTTTCCCTGCCTCCCTGCCTCGCTTCCCTGCTTCCTGACTGCTTCCTGGGATACTTTTCCAAATGCAGTACTTGCACCCAACCCTGTCTCAGGGCCCCAGAGCTTCTGCAGCCACTTGAACACAGCAGCCTAGATCCAAAGCCTGTATTCCTGGGTTCTTTTGGGGGAACAATTTTATTGAGACAGTACTCACATACAATACTATTAACCTGTTTAAAGTTTACAACTCAATAGCCATAAGTATATTCACATAGTTGTGTAGTTGTACAATCATCATCATCACAATCAATATTAGACCATTTTTATCACTCCAATAAGAAACTCCATGCCCATTTTCCTGTACCTCCATCCATGCTTTCTCTCTCATGGATTTACCTACCTCGGACATTTCATATACATGGAAGCATAAAACATGATCGTTTGTGATGGCTTCTTTCACCTAGCATAGTATTTTGGGGGTTCATCCTAGTTGTAGCATTTATTGGTACTTCATTGTGTTTTTTATTGCTAATATTCATTGCATGGATATACCACATTTTATATATCCATTTATCAGTTGATGGACATTTGGGTTATTTTCACATTTTGGCTATTACGGATATGCTAGTTTTACATGTACAAACTTTTGTGTGGACATACATTTTCAATTCTACTGGGTGTGTATCTAGTAGAAGAATCGCTGAATCATAGAGAAACTCGATGTTTAGCCTTTGGGGGAACTGCCAGGTTGCTTCCCAAAGTGCCTGCCCCACTTTATATCCCCCTAGCAGGCAAGAGAGCTCTGATTTCCCCGAGTCCTCAACAATGCTTCTTATCTGTCTTCAGGATTGTAGCTATCCCAATGGCTGTGAACTGAGGAGACACTGGTTGATTTTGATAAAGAGAGAAATCACTTTTAGGGAGTACAGCTAGATCCAAACAAGCTTAAACTAAAAAGGAGTGTTTGTAAAGTACATAGGAGCATCCACAGGAACCCAATGGCAGCAGACTCAGGGAGGAGGGTGTGAGTAGCTGAGCCTCTCCTTGTAATTACTGTGGACCACTGTATATAACTCTTATAGGATGGGCATAATTAGGAACTGTTTTTACTCACATTTCTGACACCAAATGAATGTTTGTTCCTCCACACCAACTGATTCTCTAACTCTCCAGACACCAACTGAGGGCCCTACAATTCGGTTCAGTTCTGACACTGACCATGCGGCGTTAGTGCAGACGCCTCAGTTTAAGCTCAGTCCCACAAGGCCTGGAAATTGTGAATTACACATTGAAATTAAGCAAAGCCTACATGATTGCAAAGAGTTAGGTCACCTGTGGCATAGGCTGTTGGACAAAAATGTTTAGAGATTACTGGTAATGGACAAAATGAAACCAACACAAAAATAAGACTGCCAAAGAAATTGTTGGAAGGAAAATAAAAAGTCCTAAATTTGCCAATAAAGTAATACTTTCCCGAAAAAGTCAATTACCATCTGTAGGAGGGCAACTTCTGCCCAAGCCATCAACCCTTTCCAGTGTGCCTGTCATCCTTAAAGCAAGGGGTTCTCTCACACACACACACACACACACACACACACACACACACACGTGCGCGGATAAGAGAGGACATGGCTTGTGCAAGATCACAGCCTTATCCTTAGCCAAGTCAGAGTTCAAAATGTCCCTTTGGTCACAGACATGAGCTCCTCCATCCACACTGCCTCCCCCATTCAGAATCTCCTCTGTGAATGCAGCTGCGGTTAATAGCGAAGAGATGATATGGATGGAAAAGTTATGGAAGGGGATGAAGTCTTTCTATGAAAACAGTGATAGTTATAATCACTTACGTTAGGCACTATTCTAAGAAGTTTATACATATTAGTTCATCTAGTCTCCTCAGAAACCCAGCAAGTTAGGAACCATTATTAATCCCATTTTGTGGATGGGGAAACTCAGCCAAAGAGAAGTTAAATAACACAGAGTCACTCAACTACTAAGTAGAAAAGCTAAGATTCAAACCCTCACAGTCTAACTCGAGTTGATCCTGTTAACCAACTGCTTTCTTTCAGCGGTGCTAAGACCACATATATAGAAGATCAATAAAACACTTAATTCACTCTAAAGATGGAAGAAATGCTTTCAAAACAGAGTGAGTGCCTTCCTTCTTGGGAAGACCTGGGCCTGTCCCGGCGGTGGACACTCGCCGTGGGGTTGCAGCTGGGCCCCAGGCTCGCCTACTGAACCACACAAGGTGTGAGGTCCCCTGGGCCTGCCTGCACACTCGCCTTCGGATCTCTGCTCCCAAAGGTGTTGTACTCCGTTACTTCCAATAAACCCCTGACAGCCGGCCCCTGACAGCCAGCTTATGAGATAACAGTGTTTGGTAAGGGAGCTCTAAGTGTACAACTCCAGTCAATTCTCACTTAATCCACTGGTTATATACAGAATAAACCAGAAGCTGATCCCAGACTTCAGCCAGGCATGGACTGTGTGCTTCAGGTGCCTACTTCTTGATAAGGGAGGCCCCCAATCCCTAGGGCACCTCTGTGTTCTTCTAAAATAGGGATGACTCATGCCCCTGCAATTTCTTTCTCTGCAGGGCTCAGGGATCCCCTGGGCAGGAGTCCAGTTACTCCTCAGAGCAACAAAATTTGGCTCCTGTGTCGGTGCCTGCCCTTCTCCCTTCCCTCTCACCCGTCTCCACTTACTGAGGTCCCTTCACTTCCGCGGAGTGAGAACAGTGGTTTCCATGGTTTTGTGCACTGCAGGGACCCACACTTTCAGCAACAATGAAGCTAAGATGGAGAGAAGGCTGAACAGCTAAATGATCCTCCTGGGATGGCTGAAATGAAGCTGGGCTTCTTACTCACCTGGTTCCATAAGTTGGGTTGTAAGGAAAATAAAGCATCTCAGCTCAGGAGGCTGCTGTGTCCTGGGCCTTCGTTTGGATTGGAACTGAAGTAGCCATCATCTAAGGCAGTGGTTCTCAACCTTCCGGCCCTTTAAATACAGTTCCTCATGTTGTGACCCAACCATAAAATTATTTTTGTTGCTACTTCATAACTGTAATGTTGCTACTGTTATGAATCATAATGTAAATATCTGATATGCAGGATGGTCTTAGGCGACCCCTGTGAAAGGGTCGTTCAACCGCCAAAGGGGTTGCAACCCATAGGTTTGAGAACCACTGATATGGCCTTCCAACACACATACACACGCACACATACATGCGTGCATGCATGCACACATGTGCACACACACACACAAAGTACACACACAGCGCGTACAAAGGGGCAGGACAAACATAAAGCATGCCACTTCTATGGCTGACTAAACTAAGGGCATGACTAAAATAGGATTTGAAATATGTTCTCCTCATAGCTCTGAAGGTTCCTCCCATCTAACTGATAAGAACTAGGGCCCAAAAATGTTTGAGCCTGGTCAAGAGGTCCTTCTGTCATCTGGACCCAAGTTACCCAAGGCTGGCCTCCTCATCCTTGGACTGGCCCGAGGTTGAAGACGCCAGCCCCATTTTCCCGTTTGCATGCTGCCTTCCTGCCTCTCAGGAACCCCCTGGTGGCAGGGCCCCACCTCCAGGGGCTCCTGGGGCAGTGAGAGAAAAGGTCAGCCTGGGAGTGGGACTCGGCCAGAAAGGGCAGAGCACCAGGAGGTCATGACCTCCCTCATCCATCCAGCTGTCTGACATCGCCTTTTCTCTCTTTTCAAACCATTGTTTCAAAGACGGAGTCTTTTCTCATGGTTCTCCATAAATTCTTGGTAAATAAAAACACACACACAAACAAAATAAAAAACAAATAAACCCCAGCAAGTGTCGTCCCT